ACGGAAGTATGATCATATCATATCAGAAGTATATTTTCATTATTACTATCCTTGTTATGGTTTAGCATCATCAAGCTTAACAGCTACAACGCAAATATCAGGCCATAACAATAGCACAAGAAAGCTGTAAACAGCACTGATGCAAGTATGGTTTCTCACTAAGAATGATATGTGATAAAGATCAGCTTCGTCACAATTAGTATATGCACAATTACCACATGACAAGACTATTTTCATTTGATCTAAACACAAGGCTTAGACATAAATTCTTAATCCCTCTCCCACGGTCAGTAACCATAAATGATAAACGTTTCTTTTAGCATCTGAAGTAGAGTCAGTTGTTTTTTTTGTTAAAAAAAATACAGTATATTCCCTTAAATGGGTTCAATTGTTGATCCCAACTGTCAGATATCCGGGTCCTTTTTAAATAAAATCAAGAGTATGAAAATTACAAATGTCATCATGATGGAAAGAGAAAAAAGTACATCCGATTCTACACATGAGAATTAGTCGTATAAAATTTGGATTCTTATGCATTAACCGTTTGTTACCAGTGTCAGTTTAAACCATCATTCTTAAATTTTCAGATATTGAATTCAAACAGACGAACAAGTTGATTGTGATCATGATGATGTAATTGATGTTGAGATTGATTGTGACGGTAAAAGTAAAAGTAGGCCAATAGATTGTGACAATTTCAATATCTAGTGGTATGAAGTGTTGAAATATAGATAATGTTGATGTTGAGCTGGAGGTGAATTAATTCTGTCTTCGTGATGGTGCAGTGATTTTTTGGTGATAGAAATGATATAAGTCAATGGACGCATTGATATATCTTGTAATACAAGCTTCTGGTCCATACTGGCATGATATTATACGTTGTCATTGATATTAGTAAGATTATCTATAAAAAATGTTTAGTAAAAGACATACAACAGAAAACGTGATAAATTAATTCGTCACAAAATTTACGTAAAAAAATCCGAGTGGCAGAAATGTAAGAAATATGACGGATTGAATTCCAATATTTCAAATAGTAAGGATGAAAATAATAATTTTATCTTGACGAGTTCAAATGAAATTAATTTTGAACCGTAACTTATCTGACAAATCACGTGATAAGAGACAAGTTTTTATGTGCAACAAAATTATTATGACTTTTTTTGAAATCAATAATATTTTTAATCATATGGAAGCTGTAGAAATAGCATATCTAAATAGAATAGATATTATACAGGATGTGATGAACTCTCCTTGTAAAGAAGATATCTTGTTCAATAATGCTCTGTCAAGATGAAGTTAATAAACGATACCGAAATCTCGCATTGTATTTCCATCCAGATAAAACAAATCGGCCAAATACCCCTATTCTCTTCAAGGTGATCATTAAAACCTAGGTATTGAGCTATTTAATATATTACAGAGATTAAGGAAAGTTTATTGGCAAATTATGAAAAAATCTTGAGTAACGTTTCATAAGAGAAATGCAGATGAACCTTGGAAAATTACAATTGACTACCATAATGCAGCTAAAGGACAATGGGATAAACTATAAATTATAGAAAAAAATGACATCCGTGAATTCCCTGGAGTTTAATAACGTAAATTATGGATTGCAAACCTATCAATACAATTTATAGATAATTTTGTATTATTTATATTTATCTTGATTTATTTCAGGGTTGCTGTTTAATTTTTACTATTTAGTTTTTTATTTTTTATTATTTCCAATCTCTAAAAAATAAAATTATAAATCATTATTGTCACTAACTATTATAAAGGCTATCGTTACTAATTTACAAAAAAATGAAAATTAATCATAATCATCTGGGAAGCCATCTGGACTGAAACCGTGAAAAAGCCTCATTATTGGGTTAGCTATTTTTTCAAGTGATTCTTGTTTATAATCATATTCCTCCTTACTCGCCTCTTGGTTTTTTTCAAGCCATGTAATAGATTTTTGAATTGCATCTTTAAGTTTATTAATAGGAAAATTTTCGTCCTATCGAATAGAGATGGTTTTGTTTTAAACATCTGATATATCATAATATAAATATTAAACTAAACTTACATCAAGTTTGTTACGTAAGTTAAATGCATAACTTTCTAATTCATTTCGTGCGAGTATTCTTTGTGTGACTTTCTTATCATCTTCACGATATTTCTCGCTTTCGGCGACTATTATTACACAGATTTTTGTTAGTAA